ATAAATGTAAATCTTGCAAATCTCAAAATCCATTTTTCATGTTGTATATTATATTGTTATAAATCCACACTTAAAATTACTGATTTTAGTTTTTAATGTTTTATTTTTAACTTATTTAAACAACATAGTACAGTATTTTAATATGGTCCATTTATTAGTTATCAGCCATAACTTTTAACTTTTAAGCATTTATCAGCTTATCTATATTAGTCAGACTTTTAATATTGGTGCATCTCTAATTATGCCAATCAAATTAAGTTTATGGAATGTTTTGCTTATTCGGATCATTCAAAAATTATTATTCTTGTAGACAGAAGTAATACCAATTCTTCGACAGCACTTTCTGCTTGAGTTGATGTACTCAATAATTTAAGATGAATTGAGATTTTTAGAGAAACAACAAGAAAAGGTTACAAACATGAGTCATACCAGCATTACAGCCATTCTTTCAGTTCACAAAACAGAGCTGACAGAGCTAATTCTGCAGTCTCGCATATATGAACGCATGTACACTGTAATGTTGTTTGTGTCATGTGTTTGCGCATGACTGAAATCATCTCACAACATAATCACCATCCTATTATATCATTATTACAGGACCTGATTAAAATCACTGCATGTGGCTATTAATTATAATGATGCCTTCATAGCTGCTAGTATTCACAGGTATCTGTGCTATCAGATCCTTGTAATTGCAGCCATGAAATGCATTGGAGAGAAGATAATATCAAGCTTTATCTAACTAGCATGCTTTGACTAAATTCTGAGCATTGTAGGAGACTTTGAATATGAATCACACTTATCATGTCTCTTAATTTGAAAAATGCAATTAATAGTTTTGTGATATTTTACCATGTGCATTCTGTAACCATGTTATTTAAGACTACTGAATAACATTGTGTAACTGTAATAATAAATTATAATGACGATAAAGCCGTTTAATCTGTAGCCGATTTAATTAGTAACATAAGGTCTTTTGTAAACATACTTTGAACAGACTTTAAATTACAACATAAATATATTATAGAAATAAATATGTTACAAAAATGGCTCTTTTCAGATCAAAAATACAATAGTAGATCATCATACTCTCATATTGGATACGGAAGCCAATGTCAGAGTGACTCTTGTCGGTGGTGAAGAGCAGGTACAGGAAGCTGGATGTGCTGATGAGGAACTGAGGGACCTGTGTACCCTGGTAACTGCCAATCAGAGGGGAAGAAGGATAGCGTCCATCCCGTACCTCGAGAACATCGTAGTTAACCTCTGTCCGGAACCTGTGGATCAGAACAGCGCTATGCATCAGCATGGCAGCTTCACCACAAAGTGAGACTACATGGATTCATCACAGTCCTATTCGCCTGTGTTCCTGCAGGATACCACATATTTACAGCTAGAACAGAGGTACCACATCATTCACACTGAAAACTCAGCTCGCTCCAAAGCAATGTGTGTTGTTTGAGTTTCCTGCAGCAGCGGCCCGCTAAAGCCCTGATGCTTTCTGTATTCACAGTCAAAACATCAACTGTCCCACCGGCCTCACCTTTAAAAAAATAAAATAAAATAAATCCCAACAACAACTGATGGTAGATGCAAACATTCATACTAAACACGCACACATATACAATAAATAAAGAAACCGCAGGGACCAGTAGGAGGAGAGTGCTGACACACAACAGTTATGTAGCAGGAGAATCGGTGGATGAGACTACATCAGTCTGTCTGGTATCATCGTGCCATATGCTAAAATGTATACAGACACCCCTTTCTGATTAACAAGTTTGGGTATTTCAGTACTGCCATTGAAGACAAATTTTACTGCTACTATACAATGACATTCTAGAACATCATCCGGGTGGATGCTGCACACTGGTGGTGGTTGAGGAGATTCCCCCTTCTATGTAAAGCGCTTTGAGTGCCCAGAAAAGTGCTATATAAATGTAAGGAATTATTATTATTATTATTATTATTATTATTATTATTATCTTAGAAGACTCTAGCATGGAGATCCCAAATGAGCCACAACATAATTTTAGGGGCTCTGTGTATAATGACACAAAACAAAACAATGCAATCTGGCAATTAATTAATTAAATAATTAAATAAATAAATAGCCTACCTACCTGTCTGTTTAAAACTTGCCTCGTTGAGATTTTTAATTAGCAAATAAAGATTAATTGTTGTTGAATTCCTCATTGGTAAATTGCTTTGGATGAAAGAGTCTGCATGATGAATAAAATGTCAAATAAATAAATAAATAAAAACACACAAAGCAACAAAAACAATAAACAAAGAACAAAAACAAAACAATGCAAAAAAATAACAACGCACAAAAATAATAATAATAAAATTAAAAAAAACAAGCAAAAAACAAAAAAAGCAGTAAAGTGCATTTGATCCACATGTCTTTGTTAAATAAATGTTCAACAATCGCATATGACTGTGGATAAAGCCATTCTATATAAGCAGAGGTAAAAGATATGTATACTGATTCAGAATGAATCCTTGTGATAGCTGGGGAAATGAATAGCCGGATACTCTTATTCCAAGTCTATAGTGAACATCTGCAGTGCGCTAGTGACCTATTTATGAAATGATGATAACCAGTAGAATGAAAGACAGGAGGGGAAAATGAAACCGGGAGGCTTATTAAGAACAACATGACAGTTCAGAAAAAGAGGAAATGAAGTCTTGTACGCACTTGTCAAAGATGATCTTAATAGGATATCCTGGCGGAGCCTCGATGATCCACTCACAATTGAGGGCCTCTTTATAAAGCTCAGGCCAGCCTGGGGACAGAATGATGCCGCTAGAAGCCTTGAGGTTTCCACCACATGGAGCTAAAGAACAGGAGAAGATGACAAACAAAAAAAAGATTTAAATTTTTTAATTACCAAATTTTAAGGCCAATGCTATTTTTTTTCTGTGGTTTTCACATGCTAGAAATAAACAGTAAATCACAGAAATCCAAAAAGATGGAAAGAAACCAGATGGAAAGAGCAAAATAAAAGTGAAAACCAAGGAAGAGAGGGCAGGAGTGCTCACACGTAAACTATTTCCTTCAAACAGTCCACTATTTCAGCCCAGCTATAAACTTTAACGTATAAACCTTCCGTCAAAAAATGTAATGTACAAAAAAATCTGTCTTTTCTCACCTAATAATTGAGTGTTTTTCTAAAATGCAAAATCTAAAAGCTGAATGTGTTCAACAGCTGAAGTGGATGATCTCATCTTTTAACAGTGTACTGAAGGGCATCTATAAAAGGCACTGCTCAATAAATGGCATCAAATGATTTGTAGTATACAGCAATGCATTTTATTAAAAAAAGAGGATGTGTTTTTCGTCTGTAAGAATTCAGACAGTTAATACTTCTTGAGCACATTCCGAAAGTAAAGATTATGACTTTTTATTCCACTGACATTTCAGTTGCACCAACATTTCAGTCTGTCTCCAAATGTACTTAATGTACTTAATAACTGAACAAACTTTCTAAAAGTTCAGTAAAGTGCAAACAGAGTTGGAGTATATAATTTTGTTTTTGTTACAAGCAAACTTGTTAATTATGAAATCTATTTATTAGAGAGAGGACAGACCTTCACAACGTGGCACAGCGTTGTCCCACACAACATTTCCATCTTTGAGAATGCAGGAGATGGTCTGAGAACCGTGGGTCTTCATAAACCCCTCTTCACACAGGAAAGAGATAGAGCTGCCAAGCTGTAAACTCTCACCAAAGCGCTTTCCGTTTACTGGAACGCCAGGGTCGGGACACTCGTTGTGCCGGAAAGCTGCAGGGGAAAAAAACAAAAACAAAACAACAATGAGGCAAGAATATGAAATATGGAAGAGAACTGCATGCTAACTTCAACCTAACAGGCCAAAAAGCTGGGCACAGCAACGACAGCACTTTACTTATCATATTTAACCAAATTTGAAGTGTGTGTATATATATATATATATATATATATATATATATATATATATATATAGTGTTGTCAAAAGACCCGGTATTTCGGTACCAAGTCGGTACTAAAAAAATGAAAACGTTAATGAATAAAAAGTAAAAAAAAAAAAAAATTAAAAAAAGATAATTTATTTAAAATAGAAATCTTTTCTAACAATATACACTACCGTTCAAAAGTTTGGGGTCAGTACATTTGTATTCTTTCTTTTTTTGAAAAAAATTAAAACTTTTATTCAGCAAGGATGTGATAGCAAAGATTTATATTGTTAGAAAATATTTATATTTTGAATAAATGCTGTTCTTTTTAACTTTTTATTCATCAAAGAATCCTGAAAAAAGTATCGCAGTTTCCAAAAAAATAAAAAAATATTTGGCTGCACAACTGTTGCCAACATTGATCATTCTAATAATAAATCAGCATATTAGATTGATTTATTACGTATCATGTGACACTTTAGACTGGAGTAATGGCCAGGGCCGGATTTACCTCTTTCCGTGACATAGGCAAAACAAATTTTTGGGCCTGCCGTCCCTATTAATATAATAGGCCTAATATTACCACACAAGCAAACAAAAATATTTCTTAATCAGTGAAACCGTTACAGTATTTTCTATTGCAATAAGCGCTTGCGTTCAGTCAATAAAAATCAAATGTAGTTCTTAATTTGTTTGAGAACTGAGAAAGACAATTCCATTAACAGGCACGGCGACGTGGCCACATAACCACTTCGGGAGTGCATTATTTCTCTAATAATTTTAATGGCCTAGAGTCACAACCACACATCAATTGTTCAGATGATTTGTTTCAAGATATTTAACATGTTTCTGTCCTGAAATCTCGCGTGTGTTGAACTAGCTAATTTTTTACGCACCTCTTTAGAGCTAATAACAGAGGCTTGAGCCATTGATGTGCAGGCTAACACAGTTATTAATGCAGTCTAACTCAGTTATTAGAGAGAGAGAGAGAGAGTGAAAGAGAGAGGGAGAGAGATTAAGCGTGTGTGAATACCTGCGTCTGTGCGTCTCTCAGCAGTATTCAGCAGCAGCGTCTACTAATAGCGAATCTTTAAGTTGAACTGCTTCAAGAACCTCCCTACTGAGAAATGTCATGTAGCTTTTCAGCTGCGAAACTATTTTATTGATAAATTCACGGGGCAGCGCTAATGACAAGTTTCTATCCGCGTGTGTGTGCGAGTGCGTGTCTGTACCGTGTGTGCGTCTGTGAGAGAGAGCGGGAGAAAGATAGCGTGATCTCCATACATAAAAAAGGTTGAAGACATGGAAATACCCTATTGTTTGTTATATTTATTTGCTCAGTGTCTTTTGGGATTTGGTTCTTTTACTGTTGTAGATATCCCATAGTATAACAAAAATAATATATATCTCTTCATTGTGTTTGGGCCCCCCCTGGACGAGCAAGCATAGGCACGTGCCTAGAATGCCTATACGTAAATCCGGCCCTGTATGCATGTATGTTCTGAGGAGTCGCTTTAGATAAAAGCATCTGACAAATGCATAAAATATATAAAAACAAGTTACTGAACTGAGGGGAACTTCTGTACTTTATTTCTAAAAATATTTTAGAGCTATATATATATACATAT